GCTTCGATATTCTGAGTCCAGAAGTTTCTTGATCCATAAGTATAGTGATGCACCAATTGTGTAGAAAATCTCCTTAAATTATGGAACAACTAATACACAGTTTTCTAAATTATTTCAAGGCCCAATTTAGTACCTTTTGAACAGCCAAAGATACAAATCTGTTCCAAATCAAATCTTCTTGACCTGCGAAAATATTTGATACATATCCAAAGGAAATATAAAAGAATCAAATTAAATTTGTCAAGATTTAAAAACAGTAGTGTAAGCCTGCTGCATATCAGAACAAGATGTCACGACATCTTGTTCAACATCTGGTCTGAACCATATTTTAGCAAAATGTTGCCAATCCACGAAACCATGGAACTAATAATCTCCCCCTTTGGAAGATTTTGGCTAAAACAACCAAAGACCAAATAACATGGGAAGATGAATAAAACCACAAAACACCAACACAAGCTACAAGCTAAACATGTAAACTTTGTACATGAGGAAGAAGATAAATGATACTCCCCCTCTAACACAATCCCAATTTACCACCCTGAACTTCCCAGGTGAAAACTGACAAGACCATACCTCAACAATGGATAACTCAGAGCACATGACACAACTATGCTCATAACTCAGACCACAAGATACAATAAAAATATTAAGAACAAAGAAGACACCGACTACATAGACTCATATAAGATGTTAGAACATCATATGAAAAATTCTTGGAAACCAACTTTAAGAAAAAAAAACTCAAGACTCACATGATGGACAATCATGCTCCTCCTAAAATGTTGGATATAATAAGCAACAACACTTGACTCAGACCTATACCTACTACTACTTTTCTCCCCCTTTTGAGCCAAAAATTGACAAAAGCAGGTTGAAAAGAACTTGACAAAAAACAAAAAAAAAATCAAAATAGGCAAGAAGTGATTCAAGACAGAAGTAAAACCCAAAAGAAACTGACTGAATTACTTGATGCAAGACTAGAAGCATCAAACTGACTTAAGGGAAAATAACTCCCCCAAGCAGAACCGACTCAATGAAAAAAGAACACAAGTAATTCTAAGTTTCTCCCAAAAAATCAAACTCAACAGACACACAAGCATATATATATATATATATATAGCAGTTACTAGCTATAAAATTCTCCCTCACGAGTCAATGAAATTGACCCAGTCTTCATCAACATCTGAATCTGAATCCTGTATGTGAATCTGATTCTTTCTCAAGGATTTCATATATGTCACAGATGTTCTCCCTATCCAGGAAGTTCCATTTAATGTTCTAAAATTTGTTGATATGTTGAACCCAACCTTCTTTGGATCACTGCCCTTATCCTTGTTAGATTCCAGCAAATAAATCTTCATGGCACCAGTATCTTTAGAAGATTTACTCATGTTGATACACAATATATGAGAAAGGTGAGTAAGTAAAGAATATACACACAATATGAGTTACTTTAATTGTAACGAAAACCTTGCTTGTAACGATAAATCAGTCAATGAAAACGTTATTGGAAGGAGATAAAATATTCTTTAGAAAATGTGTACCACTCAATCAGAGAGAGACACACCCTTGTTCAAACTATTCTCTTTTCAAAACTTTGATTGCTTACATTTGAAATGACATTCTCCATGTCATTGAAAATGATTCTTCTGAGATTTCACACAACACAAGAAGGAATGTAGTTGGTAACATCGACCAAACAGTTACTACCAAAAATTCTTCCACAGTGCAATTCAAAAAATACCCATTGTATACTCAACATAACTTGCACCTCAAGTTATTATAAAATCCTTCCCAAATCTCCTTAGCCAAACCATGCTTGGGAGTGCCAATATTCTGTAGCAAGATCCCTGACATAATGATGATAGTCCCAATGACTTTGTTCTACAAGCAGAATAAAATCCTTATACCTTAATTGCAGTAGAATGTTACACTACAATGTCATGACATCTGATTAGACATTGTATCCTTTTAGTAACCAACCCAATATAGAAAACATCTTTCTTCAACAATGTACCTAATCTACAAGACAGACCAGGACTCAATTAATTCTAATCTCAGTGATCACAATATCCTCCAATGATACAATCTTCTTCAAACTTGGCCAAATTATTTAATCCAAGCATCACCATCCTTATTTATTTCATTTCTAAAACAACTAATGATCATATACTAAAATAACCTCCAAATAATGAGCTCTCTCGTAAAAAATTTGTTTTCTTGAGAACTTTCTTATTCAGTGCCAATTATCCCTTTGAAATCTTCTTCAATCTCTAGAGTACCAAACTGCTGAAATGATGTTCCAACATCTGGTTGAACATCAGTTCCTTACAATGAACACATCATCGATTCTAGTCCTAAAAACATCAGCAAAAGTACCTCTCTCAATAGAGTAACTCAGAAACATACATTGTTCTCATTAAAGGAGTATATAAGACCCTTTGAAGAATTTATAGACAATAAATTTACAGAAAAGAAAACCATATGTATATTTCTATCCACCATGACCTTCACTATGCATTGAACCAAACAGATCCATAGAACCAGTTCTAGAGCTTTTGCAACTATCTAATGTTGCACCTTCTGGTGTGACAACTTGACTTCTTCTTTCTTGAACACCAAGTAAAAGGATAAATAACTAAATACTTATGAAATTCCCAAATAGAAATTGTTCTTAAATCCTCAGAGGAACATCATACATCTCATTAATGAAAGACAATTCTTCCTTGATGACATATATCTTCAGACCTTGATCACATAACTTACTTGTTTTTATTACAATAGTCACTAGTCCTTAAGTAAGAAGAAACCCAATTACCAAAGCTTAGAGAATCCATCTTGAATTATTTCGTTATCCAATTTCCTTAAACATTCATTTTAGCATCATCAACAAAGTAACATTTGATTAGAATAGGACTTAAACAAACCAGCAGGAACCCTTTTACTGCAGTTAAGTGTCTGGAACAATTAGTGTCAAAATACCAATCATCTTAGTTAGAGAGCTAAGAAAGGTATGAGAGAAAAGGCAATAATCACCTTCTCTGAGTATTAACCACTACCTGGTTAACCAATGTTGAACTTTACCTTTGAGGAAGTCAAACAAAAAGAACCTGATAAAATCTCACTTTCACAGAAGATACATCTTCAACTTTAGTATCTGCCATAGCATGAGTATATTGATGTCTAGCACAATGTTGAAACATTTTAATTGACATCCTTGACTCATCTTGCCTCTTGATAAAAATATCCTTGTGTCACTTTGAGTTTTCTCTTTGCTAATTATCTTAGAAGAAAACTTATCCTCTTTAAAGTTCCAATCATCTTCCCTCTTGAAGAAACTCCTCCAACTGATCTGGATTATCCTTAAAATCGATCAAGACATCAAGATTTTAGGATTAAATAGAGTCACTTCACCTTTCAAAAATATAAATAGTAGATACTTCTTCATTCTCTTAAGACATAAGATCAGAAATAAATCACCTCATATTTCTTCACAGTTGAAAACTCCCTTATTCTAGATACATTATGAGATAAATCTTCAGTTCAGAAATCTTCTTAAGAAGTTTATCTTCCAGTCAAATCAGTAATATCCTTAGAAATCATAATCATAATCAATTTCCTAATTAAGCCAAGACATATAAGACCTACATAGTTGTCCATGAGATAAATAGTGTATTTTTCTTCAGAAAGATCCAAGATCTCCACACTCATATGAATTATTTTACATTGATTGATCTTTAATCCAGTTCTAGCATTCTTTTTAGCATCGCAGACATGCAGAAGTCAGTATAGATGCCTTTGACATTTGGTCTAGAATTTTTGTCCAATCCCCTCAACTCCTGATTGGATCACCTTACTAGGAACAAAATAGTAATAAGAAAACCATTATTAGAGACCAGAAACCAAGCTCCTCTAGAGTTGAAAGAAAAAATAAATTGCTCTTATCTTTCTGACACTTTCATGTCAAATCTCTAGAGAAGCGACCTGATAATCTTCTTCTTGATCAGTCTCACATCTGGAAAAAAATTTCCAAACACACTTAGATATGCCTTTATGAGTGGACTTGAGAGATTTCCCAAGTATCATTGGCCATAATAAAAGTGATTTATAATATGAAAAAACACTTATCTATTCCATAGATTATGGTATTGATAACTTCAAATTCATAGAGACTCAATACATGCATATGTGGCTTAGACTATAAAGTGTAGAACGTGGTCTTGGCACAAGGAGAATATAGTTTGAATTCATCTATCCACAACACAATCAATTAAGGTTTTGAGTTTTTTTATTAAAAGAGGTGTCTTTGGCTTGGAGTGCAAGGTGTGGACAATATGAACTTCAACATTGAATCCGGTTTTTCTATGAAATTCAAGCACGACGTAACATTTGATTAAGATCCAAGTATTGATTCAAGATCTTGTTTTCAGTTATAAGGCAAGCGTCGTGGTTAGTGTAAGTATTGGATTCATTTGCCTTTTGATAACATAAAGCCAAGATTTTTATTGACAATATTATTTCAAGCATGTAATTGGAGTTCAACTATGGAGGAACTATGAAAGGTATATAAATTGATTAAAAAATCATGGAATTCATCATTCAAGTATTGATTCAAGTCCATTCAAATAATCAAACATTATTTAAGGTTCTAAACAAGGTTCTTCAAATCCCATTCAAAAGACATATGAATCCATTCAAATGCATTTCGTTCACTTGAGTTCAAATACAAGCTAAAGGTATCATGTAGATTATTACAAAGTCATGCTTAAATCAACTTATTATCATTCAAGATTAGAAATAGTTTAAAGATTCAAAAAAAAAAGAAGCTCATACTAGAAAGTCAAGATGGAACAAATTTGCTTACAAGACAATACAAGTTTTATCCAATTATAAGTACATGGTGTAATTACATGCTTGAAGCATACAAAAATAAATAATTACAAGGCATTTGGTTATATGTTTCTAAGCCTAAAGATTTAAATTCTTAAGGCCACAACTCCATGCTTTCACTAAACTGTGCATCTGATGCTTCTTACCAGTCTTTATCAGCATACCTTGGCTTCAAAGGAAGGAAACCCAATGGCCTGGTTAACACTTCTGTTTCTGTTGAAGAGTTTCCTGAGGCAGATGAAAATATCAGGACTGAAGAAAATAATGATTCCAATAAAGATAAGCTACTCAATCAGACGAGACTTTGTGGCATTTGTCAAGGATAACTGGAAGATTCTAGCAAATAATAAATAGAAGTATGGCCAGTTCGGTTCACAAAAAAAACTGCATCAGCGAAAATTCAGAGTTAATTCAGAAATTGTGTCAAAATAACATCATTCCAATAATGTAAACTAATTGCATACAAGTAGTTCAGTTCCAATTCAGAAATCCAGTCCCTGCCTAAAACCCTCACATCTTCTTGTTTAGCTTCAACATAAATTAGAAAATACGAAAGGAGTATAATAGAAAATCAGGAAATGCTTCAAACTAGATGAAACTGAATTCACAACAAACCTGTATTCAACCAAACTAACAATTAGACTCAACTGGCCCTGCATACAATTGCTAAAGTCATGCCAAAGCGGTTCCAGGCCTGCATCAAACTTGAATCCAAATACGGAAACACTGCTATGTTCACAAACACAATAAACAACTCAGTTCCACAATCCACAATTTTGAAACCATAAAAATGTAAATCAGCCCTGCATTTTGTTCATACCAGAAATCAGAAAACAATGAAAATAGCATAAAGTCAAGAATTAATGGCTAACTGCACTCACTAACAGAAAATCAGGAAAAGAAGAACAAAACTCATATTTTTCCAGCTCACCATCAATTAATAGAAAACCTTCCTAGCTAACGGCATAACAAAATTTATACTAACCCATGCTACACAAACTAAAAAACTAAGCTAGCTAGCAGTTTCTAAACACCTTCTAACAACCATAACAGAATTTTTGAGATCCTAACTTCCTCTAACCTCCTAATTGTTTCTAACATAATTTCAATAACCAACTAACCATCATTGATCCCTAAATCTACTTCTCAAGTAAACACTTAATTGTTGTTTGACTTTTTTTAACCTACTGAATTCATCCTTCAACATCTCAATAACTAAAATTTCCACCCAAAAGCTAACCTTTCTTCCCTCTACTATCAGTTTAAAACCATGTATATTTTCCCCTCTAGAAATTTTCTCAAGTAACATCAAGAAGTTCAAGATAAGGAAAGAGAGAGACCAGCTTTCTAATTTGACTCATCTGATTGCTACTTTTAGAAAATCTTTGATTGGTTGTAGCACGATTGGTTTTGATATTGCTTCTTCGATGGAAATTGGGTGGCCTTCTAATGTTAGACATATTGCACATGTTGCAGAATATGCTCAAGCTTCTTCCCGCAACCAAAACCCAGCCTTCCATTAAATATCAGAAACCAAATTCAGGAAACTGTGAAAACTGGATGAAGTCAGGAAATAATGAAAATAGCAGTAAGTCAGGATTAAACAGCTAAATGCCATAACAAAATTCCGTAAACCAGATAACTCGGTAACAAAAATAAACGTACAACTCATGTCATAGCAGATAAGGTAATATCTAACCGACTCTCATCTCACCATTCATTCACTAACTAAACCTTTCAAAACCAAGGGTTCAGATCAATTCAATCCTAACTAACTTTTCCAATACTAACACACAATAAAAAAGAGATTTTACCTCTTCCAGGATCCCTTCTTCAGAATCATAGAAAAAATCACAAAAAACACATCTCTTGAAGCTATCTCACATCTCCAGAATCATCTTCAACATTCTTCACTTCATCCTCCAAACACTAAAAAAAATCACAGAAAACTCTCTCGGAAATATTTCTCCAAATCTCTGCTCCCATCCTTCAACCGTAGAAGAATCACAAAAGAATCAGAAGAAAATCTCTCTGCATCATAACCACTATTTCTTCTTCATCTTCATCTTCATCCACCAACCTTCATCTTCTCGAAAACCATGTAGAACCTTCATCGCCTCTTGTTGCTTCTTTCTACACAACTTCAATGAACAAACGTGACTGAATCAGCAACATCTTCATCAATCTCACTTCAATCTTCTGCAATCCTTCGCATAAATTCAACGGTGATACAACAAATAAGAAGCAGAGATACGCATCACAAAACACGCAAGGAGCAATCATATCGACGAAATTGAAGAATAGAAGAAATAAAGGGAAGGGTGAAACACTTGTCAAGCCTAAGCTCGTCGAGAAACTCGCTTTCCCTGCCGCGGCACAACCCTCAAGTCTTCAATCAGGTTCTCCTTACATTTGTTCTTGCTTGATTGCACATGCTCTGTCTTCTCTGATCTATGCTCCCTCCATCAGAGTTCGAATTCCTGAGTTTCTTTTAGACTTAGGTTTCTCTTTATTTAAGACATGGTTGTGAATTCTGCATGGGAGATGATGATGAAGTAAAGCTTGAAAACATGATGGATTGGCTAAGAATTGATGGTGATCCATGGTGCCTCCGAAGTAACAGGTTTCCACGAGAGATATGAGAATGAAAGAGGGAACCTGGGGTTTAAAATAAGATGAAAGGTTGATGAACACCACTAAACGGTGTCGTTGAATCCATTGCTTCACGGGTCATCTATTTTTGTTCATTTTTTTTGTAATACTGAAGTTGTTTGTTTTGGCTAAAATGTTGCCCTCAACCCAACGAATACCTCATCACATATCCCAGCCAGATTATGGACCATACCAACTTAGGCCTATTGTATTTTTTTTTGCAGCTTGGAAGAACTATGATAAAAATATTTCATGGGCTGGGTTTAGAACAAGAATTAGGATTGCTATGCAGTAGCATGGTGTCCAATTTGCACCCCTGTTTTTTTTTATTTTGCAAATTTTGGTGAATAAAATTGTTAATTGTTTAGATTTATCCTATTTTCTCATGACAAAAAAAAAATCAATAAAAACTTGTAGGTTTTTTTATTTATTTTAGTTTTAGGAAATTAAATTCTGATTATCTGATTATATTTGAGATTGGTAGTTCACCTTTGCTTGTTGAGATGTGAATCTTGTGCAGGTTTGTTGTATGATATGCGGATGCGCTTGAGATTTCGATTGTGATTTATTTTTACATCGATGACTCGTCGATACTTATTTTGAGTGTTTGATTTCCAACTCATTTCTTTGATTGGTGAAGCTTCGCGAAGATCATTGGGTTTCTTTGTTTTGATAGGCTTTGCTACGGATTGATATCCATTTGGTATTTTCCCTTGTTTATCTTATTTCAATACTTTACTGCTTTCTAGATATCATGAGAAGTAGGAAATAAAGAGTGTGCGCTCGAAGTCGTTGTTTAAAAGACCTATAGCAGGCATTCCGCACTTAATTTTCTATATGTGTTATGCTTGTGTTTGTTTCCTTGGTTTTTGATTGATGAGTCACTCAATTTAGTAATTGAGATCACGACTTCGCTCTCAATGCATGCTCCCTATTTGATTTTATCGCTTTCCTTGATTTCTTGTTGATCGATGAGTTACTCAATTTAGAAATTGAGATCACGATTTCGCTCTCATTGCATGTTCCCCGTAGGATAGTTTTGTTAGACTTCCTTTGGCATGCTAATCTAGATAGGACATCTCTAGGTGTGTTCTCTTGAGCTTATTGGCTTGCTTGCTTGATTTCGTCTTTGTGTTCATGTTTTAAGATGATATACCCTTGTCATGTTCCCTTAGGAGCTCTCGATTCAACTATAGATGACGATTCTAGATAGACATAGTTTTAGGTGATAGACCCTTGCTATGCTCCTTTAGGACTTCTTGATTCATCTATAGATGATGATTTGAGATAGACATTAGGATTGTTATCCATGCATGCTAACACAGGTTAGAGATTTCCCTTTCAAAACTCAACCTTAGGATTATTCATTGTATGATAACATTAGAGATAGATTTAGGTTAGTCTCCCTTTAGACTTTTCTTTCCCCTTTTGCATTTTCATTAAAACAAAAACTTCATTTTCTTGCAAACTTCAAAACACTTAAAGATTACCTATGAGAGTCATACCTTTGTTGAGCATGGGAAATGATAAGAGGGTTTCTTATCGATCTTATTGTTCTTTCATTCTAAGCCTTAGTGCGGTTCAAGTCTCAAAGAATTATTTCATGAATAAGTAGAGAAATGGCTAATATCTCTCTCTTGAGGTCAATTAGCTGTTATCTGCAGCAAAAACACCAACCAACACAAACTCTTTTTTCCTACGGGCTTTTCTTTTAAAACTTTTTCAAAAGAACATGTTAATTCACTTCTATTATGACGCGTAAGTCTCCAAAGGTCGAGTTGCGGTAGAAGGAGAAATTAATATTGTTCATTAAAAAATAAAAACCAACAAAAACTTGTTAGCCAAACTACAATTGCTCTGATTCCTTAAAAGGGATACGTAGGCATTGGGGTAGGGCCCAAGCGAGTACAAATTTTTTTTCCCTACATTCTTTTCTTCTTTTTTTTGCATGCATTCCTTCTCAGTAATAAACAGTAAGCATAGTTTAAACACACCCATAAGATAGATAACAAGAGTGGATATTGTAGAGTACTACAGGCATGTGGGGTGCTAATACCTTCCCCTCGCGTAACATACTCCCTTACCCATATCTCTCGGTCATTTGATCGTGATTTCACGCTTCTCAGGTTTACTCGATGTTTACCTTTCCCTTCCTGTGGGATAAAAAATGTTTGATGGTGACTTCATTGATTTCATTATTAGTTGATTGTTCAGTCGGTTGTTTCAGCTGAAAACTTCACTGGGGAAGTTGTTGACCAAATGTTGGTCCATCCCGGAGTCGATCCTAGCTCTTGTTGTCTTTTCCTTGTGTGTTTATTTTTATGCTTTCAGTTTATTCATTTGTACATGTTTTTCTATGCATATGTTTGCATGAATTTTATATTTTATACTATTGATGTGCTAGTTTCTGTGTTTCTTTGTTGGGTGGGTGTTACTATGAGGTAAAAGGCCCAATACCCAGGCCATAATGCACTATTTAGGAAATCTAGGAATGGAGTGGAACATGACGGATAGGGGGTGTAGATTACCCTAGACGGTTGTGTCGTCCATGCTTAGATGAGGTTTTAATGAGGTGTTATCATTATCACGTAGGTGTGGGATGATAGTACTCTCAAGATAACAGGTAATTTTGAGTTACCTTTGCTTACCTTGACCTAGTTTCACCCGTGATTGG